AGTGTGGTGAAAGTAGTAATTGTGGAACCCGAGGACCTAGAAATGAATATAAGTATTCAAAAGATATACCGGGACAGATTTCCAGAACTAATGAGCGTGGACGAAGACTTCGAGGTTCTCGAACAAATAACCAGGACGCGTACGAAGGAGAGGGGAGAGTTAGCGCAAAGAAAAATTATTAAAGTGACCTATGACGGCACGGAACAAAATTTATGGGACCAGTTACAAAAAGTTAAAGATGAGACAGCAGCAAATGAATGGGTGGCGCTCCACCATGTTAAAAACATGACGGTACAGAATATGCGGAAAATGGTGGAATGCGTCTTCCAAGAGACGGAGACCAAGGTATGTATCTATACTACAAAACAAACGGTCGCTCCTGAGAAAATCAGGGAGAGGAAAACATACGGGCTGGTGGTAGAACAAAAGGGGAAGGACTTTGTAAACACAATAGCTAATGTCAAAGCGGCAATAAACACAAATAGAGCGGGAGATAGCATTAAAAGCTTGAAGAGCACAAAAGACGGGAAACTATTGATTATAACCGAGAAAAATGATGAAGCGATAAGCGAAATTAGGCGCCTAATAAATCAACTGCCTGAAAAAGTCGACATTAAGACGGTAGGGAAGATGTCGACGAAGGGAACAAGCTACCGTATAAGAGGAATGGATGCGACCACAGGAAAGGAAGAAGTGATCGAAAGTCTCGAGCGGACACTAGGCAAAAAGCATGGGGTTGGATTTAGAATCGGAGATCTGAGACCGAACACAGGGAATACGAAAGCTGTTACTGTAATGATAAACGACAAGGAGGACGAGAGCAAGATGGAAAAGGGAATAATCAGGATGGGATTAGTTTCATGTCAGGTGGAACAAACAGTCGAGGTCAGGAGATGCTATAAATGCTGGACATATGACCATACGGAGAACAACTGCGAAGGACCGGACAGGAGAAACCTGTGTTACAGATGTGGAAAGGCAGGTCACTCGCTTAAGGAATGCCAGAATGAAGAAGAGTGTCCGATCTGTAACAAGACGGGACACAAGGCGGGCAGTGGGAAGTGTACGTTATTTAAACGGGCCCTGTCACGTGCCAAGGAAAGCATACGCAGTGAGAGGCAAGAGCAGAAGAGTCAGCAAAGACAGGAGAGAGAACAAAGAACGGAGTCGATGGAAATAAACGCGTCCGGGGAGCGGGACAGCAAGTCTAACTAACACACACACACCAAAAAAAAAAACAAAAAAAAAAAAACAAAAAAAAAAACAAAAAAACAAAAAAGGCACAGTATGAATGATAGGGAGAGAGAGGAAACGATAGTGCTGCAGACGAATGTACAAAGAAAGGGAGTGGCGATGGATGTGATGTGGAAAACGGTGCAAGAAGAAGGAGTGAATGTGCTAGTAGTGTCTGAGCCAAATAAAAAGAGAGTGAAAGGGGTAGAGTGGATGACGGATGTGAGAGAAGATGTAGCGGTGAGAGTATGTGGACGGCATGAAAAGGGAGAGATGTTTGGGAAGGGCGAAGGTTTTGTATGGATCAAGTTTAGTGACTGGGTATTGTATGGATGTTACATATCTCCCAATACTGGTATTGGGAGATATCGAAAGTTCCTGGATGATCTGGGTGAAAGTGTGAATACATGGGAGGGGGAGGTGGTGGTCGCAGGGGACTTCAATGCGAAGTCACCCCTGTGGGGCTCCCCCATAATAAATGACGTGAGAGGAAGCTTGCTCGAGGATTGGCTGGCTGAGAGGTGCATGGTTTGTCACAATTGCGGAAATGCCCCCACCTTCCTGCGAGGTGCTCAGAAGTCACATATTGACCTGACCCTCAGCACGGAAGGGGTGGCTAGAAGAATGAAAGAATGGAGAGTGCTAGAGCACGAGAATCTGAGCGATCACCAGGACATAGTATGGGTGTTGGGTAAGACAGGAGAGTGTATGAGAGGTGAGGACAGAACGAAGGACATGGGATGGAGCGTAGCGGAAGATAAGATGGAAAGACTGGCTGAGGTGATGAAGGAAAGAGTAAAGACGATGGATGAACGTAAAGACCTAGTGTATGAGACGAAGAGAGTACTAGAGGAAACGTGTGACAGGGTTTTAAAAAAAAAGGGATGTATGGGAAAGAGGAAAGGAGTGTATTGATGGACGGATGAGATAGCAGAAAAGAGAAGAGAATGTTTGAGGAAGAGAAGGAAATGGATGAGGTGCTATAAAAAGGGAGGCAATACGGAAATAATAATGGAGAAAGGGAAAGAATATAAACAAACAAAAAAAGAATTGAAGATAATGATCAACAGATCGAAGGAAAATGCGTGGAAGAGAGTGTGTGAAGAAGTAGACAGGAATGTATGGGGAGAAGGATATAAGATTGTGACGAAGTGGATGGGAAGAGGAATGAAAGGTGTCGCGTGCGGAGAGAACGTAATGGAGGAGGCTCGCAAGCTCTTTCCAGAGCACGAGCCTCTAGTGTGGAAAAATCTGGTGGTGGACGGGCAGGTGCCGGCCTTCACTCTCGCCGAGCTGCATGAGGCGGCCGGGAGGTTGAGGAAGGGAAAGGCGCCCGGCCCGGACAAAATACCACCAGAGGTGTGTAAGATTTACGCGAGAGAATGTGAAAAAGAATGTCTGGAGATGATGAATAAGTGCTTGAGAAGGGGCTAGTTCCCAAGGAATGGAAGGTGGCGAGACTGGTGATGATAGAAAAGGAAAGAAAGGAAGGAGAGAAAGTGACATATAGACCCATCTGCCTGTTGAATGGGATGGGCAAGCTGTATGAGGGAATGTTGGCCGAGAGACTGAGGAACGACGTTCGGAGGCTCGGCGATCTGGCGGAGACACAGTATGGGTTCAGGGCGGGCCGATCTATGATCGACGCCATGATGGATGCACGGGAGTACGCTAGAGGAGCGAACGTGGGTACATGGGGTACCCGGCGGTTCTGTGTGATGGTGACTGTGGACGTCCGGAATGCCTTCAATACGGTATCGTGGAGAGGGATACTGGATCGTCTTGTAAGCATGGGGGTGGAACCGTATCTCGTGAACGTGGTGCGGTCCTATCTGAGCGAAAGAGTGGTTCAAACGGAGATGGGCGAATTTGAAATGACTGCCGGGGTTCCGCAGGGGTCGGTTCTGGGGCCGCTCCTGTGGAACATATTTTACGATGAGGTGTTCAGAATGGAGGTACCTGATGGGGTAAAGCTCATCGGGTACGCGGATGATCTGGCGGTGATTGCGATAGGTAAGAATGAAGAGGACCTGAGAGAAAGGACCGAAGAAGCACTGCGGCTCGTGGGTGCATGGATGGGGGACAACGGTCTCTCACTTGCACCCGAGAAGAGCGAAGCGGTGCTCTTGGTAGGGCGGAGAACGATACGTGGAATGAGTGTGTGCATGGAAGGTAGAGCGATAGAGACCCGGGAAGCGGTGAGGTACCTTGGGGTGGATTTTCAAAGAAACCTCAGGGTGGCCGAGCAAGTGGAACGGGTGGTACGGAAGGCTAAGTTGGTTGTGGGTGCCCTGGGCCGACTGCTACCCAATGTAGGAGGACCCAGGGCGAGCAAAAGGAGAGTGTTGTGCAGTGTCGTTCATGGGATGCTGTTGTATGGGGCGGAGGCATGGATCGATGGGTACCGCATACAGAAGTATCGACAGATGCTTCTGGGTGCCCAGAGAAATATGCTTCTGCGAGTATGTTGTGCGTATCGCACGGTGTCCGGGGAGGCACTGTGCGTGCTGGCTGGGGTCCCTCCGTTGGATCTACTGGCGGAGGAACGTCTTCGCGAATGTAAGAGGAGAAAAGATGAAAGGGAGAGGGAGAGGGAGGCGACTTCGGCCCCCTCAGCGGCGTGCAAGAGGAAAACGAGAGAGGACCTGATGAGAGTGTGGAGTGAAAGGTGGAGGCAGACGGAGAAGGCCGCCTGGACAAGGCGGCTAATCCCGAACCTCCCTGAATGGATCGACCGGGGGCACGGGGAGGTGAACCACTACACCTCTCAAGTGCTCACCGGTCACGGGAGTTTTGGGGCCTACCTGAAAAGGATAGGCAAGATTGAATGCGCAGCTTGCTTGTATTGCGAGGAAGGAGTGGAAGAAGATGTAGAACATGCTATATTCGAATGCAAAAGATGGGCTAGAGTGAGAGAAGAATGTGAAGAAAAACTGGGAAAAAGAGTGAATGTGAGCAACATGATAGAGACGATGGTAGAGAACGAGGAGGGATGGAAGGAAATAGATAGGATGTTAGTGAAAATTATGAAAGATAAATGTGAGCAGGAAAGAGAGAGAGAGAGAGAGAAAGAAGAGACATGAGAAGGGAGTGAATAACTAAAAAATAAAAAAAAAAAAAAAAAAAAAGTAAAGAGGAAGTAAAGAGAAACGACAGGAATGCAAGAAAAGGAAAAAAAAAAAAAATCTCAAAAGAGTAACAAGAACAACAAACAAGAGGAAAAATAAATAGGAATCAAAGAATTTATAAAAAAAAAAAAAAAAAAAAATCGGACAGATGGCAACTAAAAAAAAAAAGACGAGAAGAGAAGAATGGAAGAAAAAGCAAGAAGAAAGAAGAATGTGACGACCAACCACCCCCCTGAAGTAATGCTAACGCGGTTCCGGGGGGGTTGGAGAACAGCTGGTCGAGGAAGGGGTTTTAGCCGGTAAGAGTCCTGGCACTACCAGGGACGCTCGAAACTAAGTCCCTGGTGCCCATGAGGGTTTCCCCTTTCATAGAAAAAAAAAAAAAAAAAAAGGTCAGGTCAGGTCAGGTCAGGTCAGGTCAGGTCAGGTCAGGTCAGGTCAGGTCAGGTCAGGTCAGGTCAGGTCAGGTCAGGTCAGGTCAGGTCAGGTCAGGTCAGGTCCCCAGGGGAGAAGCCAAACTCCTACTGGGCGCGTCCCCCGGGTGGCGGATAGGGGAAGCCCTCACCGGCTTTGCCGGCGGGTTGCGGCGAAATAAAATAGCCGCCGCGGACCAAATAGAGCAAGGAGGAGACAACCTCCATGAATAAAAAACACTTACGACGACCCATGCGAAAACCCGGACATGATTTGTTTATAGATAGTCAGAATTGGCCGCTCTTGGTGAAAAGCCCCCTCACCACGACAAGGTGGCGGCTGATCGAGGGGGGACTGTCGCTTCGGCTTGGCAATGGACTTGGACGACGAGCGTTAGGCCACGCCAAAAAGCCAAAGAAAAAATTTTTTATGACGTCGCAATTTAAAACAGTGGTACCCCAGGGGGGTAGGGACGAGGTCCCGGAATCCCCCCTCTGCGGAAAGCAGAGCTGCCCCACGGATTCTGGGGGGGGCAAAACTGCGCAACATTCGAAGCAAGGATCGAACGTGTTGGTGGAGGATGTATTCCAACTGGATTCTCCTCCGAGACTACACAGTCGGTTGAATTTGAACAGCAGCTTTCAGCGATGTAATTCCTGGGATAGCAGTATGCAAAAGAAAAGGAAGTACGTAGAAGACATTTCATTCGAGAAAGAAGTAACTCGGAAAGAGGAAGACTCGATAGCAACAACACTTCGGGACACTATTAAGCAAGTAATAAAACACATTGAACAACTTGAAAAAAGAGTAGCAGAAAACACAAATACCAAAAGAGAAATAAAAGAAATCACAAACTGTCTGAAAAGAGACGCAGATGTCTTAAAGTATGATACGATCAAAGACTGGCTCAAGAAACACAAATATAAGGAGGTGGAATACCCCAAATATGACGTTGATGTACAAACGGAAGGCCTATATAAAGAGGTAGCCGAAGTTGGAACCCAAACAGACATGGATAGCGAAGAAATGAAGACAATAATCCGAGAAAAAATAAACCAAATCATAAAGAAGGAGTCGGAGCCAACAGAAGAGGAGCTGGTAGAACTCCTAGAAGAAACATGGAGCGAAGAAACATTTGAAAATGTGAATCGAAAAGAAGGAAATCCCCTGAAAATCGCGAAAGAGTCAGATCTAGCAATATTTACTACGGGGAATGAGAAGGATGTACAGGAAGGGCTCTACAGACAATGCAACGAACGTTTTCCGGAACTGGTGGAAACAGAGGAAGGCGTTATAAATCACCAAATATATGTAAGAAAAACAGGGAAAGAAAGCAAAATTGAAAGATGGGTATACAAGCTAAAGATAGAGGGAGAAGAGAATACAGCAGTTCTTAAGAAGCTACAAGAACTCCGAGCACAAATGAAAACGTACGAAAGAACAAATGTCGTCCTACCAAAAGTAAGAAACATAGAAACTTTAAGGCTAAGGAAGCTGGCAGAAATCGCTTTCTACAATGCCGATGAGAAGATCATAATATATGAACCAAAGAAGAAAAAGAAAAAAAAATGGACAGGCATAGAAAGAGAAGAAGAAAGTGGAAACAGAAACGTTAAAACAAAGGTTAGAGCGAGAGAGCATAGCACAAACGCTCTATTTGTAAAAAGAGGCAATGAAAGCTACGCAGACTTGCTGAAGGAAGTTAAACAAGAAATTTGCTCTACAAATCTGGAAATAAAGATAGACGCAATCAGAGAAACAAAGAACGGAGACCTGTTGGTAGCTGTGGATAAAACCGAAGCTAACTTCGAAAAGATAAAGGAAGTATTGAGAAGTAAAATGGGCCAGGACAAAGTCAGAAGTAAAGGGATAGAAAAACCGGTAGTCCTGCATGTACAGAGACTAGATGCTGTAACAACAAAAGAAGATACACATGCGGCACTGATGGAGGCGGTGAGAGAAAGCGTAAGCGATCCAAATGACATAGAAGTGAGCAATATGAGACCGGCCTACGGAAACTGCCAGACGGCCACAATTAAAGTGAGTAAAAAAGCTGCGGATGTCTTGCTTCAGAAAGATCGGGTACTGATAGGACTAACGAGCTGCAAAATAGTCGAGAGGCGTGACCTGAAGAAATGCTATAGATGCTGGGAGTTGAATCATACTGCCGGGGAATGCAAGGGAGTAGACAGGTCCAAAGCATGTCTAAAATGTGCGCAACTAGGACACTCGGTAAAGGAATGCACAAATGAGAGCTACTGTCCCATCTGTAACAGGAAAGGACACAGAGCAGGAAACGCTAGCTGCCCTAAATTTAGGCAAGGGCTGGCGTCTTCGAGCTGAACATACTACAATTAAACTGCCAAAGACGTGCCGTAGCACAAGATCTATTAGAAGCTACGGCCGCGAAACTGCAGATAGATGTTATAGCCGTTTCGGAACCCAATCGCAAGATTATAAGATCGGATAAATGGAAAAAGGACTTGAGAGGTGACGCGGCCCTTAAAATCAGAAATCCCAAACTGGCTAACTATGGCTCGGGTGGAGGTGAAGGGTACGTGTGGATAGAGCTGACCGACGTACGCGTATACAGCTGTTATATTTCACCAAATGTCCGATTTGAAATCTTTAGGAAATGCCTAGATGACATGGAGGACAGCATACGTAGGACCAGAAAGAAAGTTCTTATTACAGGCGACTTTAACGCCAAATCGCCGGAGTGGGGTGGACCAGTAGAAGATGATAGGGGTACAAAAATGTCGCAGTGGTTGGCGACACTTGGACTAGTCGTCTTAAATGACGGTAGGGTCCCTACCTTCCGAAGAGGAACATGCTCATCATATCTAGACCTCACAATTATCTCGGACTGCGTAATTAAGCAGGATGTCACGTGGAAGGTGCTGGAAGAAGAGCCACTCAGTGACCACGCGTACGTGTACACGAGGATATCTGAACAAAGAAAACTCCTCGTCCAAAAAGATGAAAAATGCAGACGTAAATGGGATGGTAGTAAAATCAATAGAGAAAAATTTGAGACGGCCATGGCACTTCTTGCAGTGGAGGACACGGAGCGAACGGCAGAATCATGTGTGCAAAGGTTGCAAACGGCATGCGCAGCAGCCAGCCCCTGTAATAAAAGGAGCGTGCGGCAAGGCAGACGAGAAGTATATTGGTGGAGCGATCATATCGCTGTGAAACGCCAGGAGTGCCTGTACAACAGGAGAACTATGCTCCGGCTAGGGAAAAAAGGTGGCGCCAGTGACGCACATAAAGTAGCAACCATCGATTATAAAACTTCGAAAAAAGAGCTCAATAAGGCGATTCGGGTGGCTAAAGACGAGAAATGGAAAGAGATCTTGGAAGAGGTGGAAAATGATGTGTGGGGACAGGGATATCGCATTGTTACGGGAAAATTTTCCCAAAAAGAGGCAATACCTAGCGACCTAAAGCTACAAATTGCCAAAGAACTCTTCCCAAGAGCTGAAACAAAACGTTTTTCACGTTGCGTCGAAGACTTCGAAGAGATAAGAGAGGAAGAAGTAAAGACAGCTGCGAGTAAAATAAAGAGTAGAAAAGCGCCAGGACCGGACGGAATCCCGCCGGAAGCCATCCAAATGGCAGCAAATGTGGTCCCAGGATATCTAACGGGAATTTTGAATAAATATGCAGCAGCTGGAAATGTTCCGGCACAATGGAAAAAAGCGAGGCTAGTGCTGGTTAAAAAACCGAAGAGAGAAGGGATGCGTCCCTCGGACTTTAGACCATTGTGTCTGTTGGACACAATGGGCAAATTGTACGAGCATGTGATCGCTGACAGGCTCAGAAATGGGCTGAGAGAAGGAGACGACCTATCAGAGAAGCAATATGGCTTCATGAAAGGCAGATCAACAACCGACGCAATAAAAGAAGTATGTCAGACAGTTGAGGCGGAACTCAAGAAATCATCTAAGAGCCGTAAGCTGGTTGCACTAATAGCCATTGATGTCGAAAACGCGTTTAACAGCGCACCATGGAATAAGATTATGGAAGAACTATACAAAAAAAACCTACCTGGATATCTAGTTGCGACGGTGGGGAGCTACCTCGACAAAAGAATGCTGGAGGTGGATGACGGTGTCCTGATGAGCGTAAACGCGGGTGTTCCACAAGGCAGTGTTCTTGGGCCCCTCCTATGGAACGTACTTTACGACGGGGTCCTGAAATTACCCTTATGGTATGGAGTCAAAGCTATTGCGTATGCTGATGACTTATTAATAACAGCAACAGCTAAAGGGGAACAAGAGCTGATGGATGCAGTAAACAATGCCCTGCAGAAGGTATCTAAATGGATGCAAAATAAGGGACTTAAGATCGCTGCTCACAAAACGGAGGCGTTAATGGCAGTTGGAAGGAAAAAGTATACGGAAGTACACTTCGAAATCGAAAACCAAAAGATAAGACCAACGGATAGGATAAAGTATTTGGGAGTCGTCATAGATAAAAGCCTTAGCTTCACAAAACATCTAGAATATGTATTACATAAAGCAAGCGTGTCGGCGATGGCTCTTAACCGGCTGATGCCTAGACTGGGAGGAGCGGGGGAGAAAAAAAGAAGAATATTAGCATCGGTTACCGAATCTATCATGCTCTATGCCGCTCCAGTGTGGAGAAAAGTGCTGAAGGTTGAAAAATATAACAAAAAGGCCGGCAGTGTACAACGCAAAGTCGCCCTGCGAATCTGCAGGGGATATAGAACCATTTCAACGGAAGCAGCTCGGGTCTTGTCAAGAATGATACCTCTGGACTTGCTAGCAGAGGAACGAGAGCACGCGATGGGGAAAACGGATCAAGAAAAGAAATCTATACGCGAAGGCACAATCAGGAAATGGCAGGAGCGATGGTCCATTAGCAGAGCAGACGTGTGGCTGCACAAGATTCTCCCGGATATTACGAAGTGGTACCTAAGAGAACAAGGAGGAATAGACTCGTATATGACACAGGCGTTTACTTCCCACGGAAGCTTTCAGAAATACCTTCATCGAATTGGCAAAAGCGAAACGGAAACATGCCAATATTGCACCCAAGAAAGTGATGACGCAGAACACACCCTGTTTAAATGTCCAAGATGGAAAAATGAGAGAGAGAAGGTTGAGAAAGCTGTAGGCGGCAATATTACGACCGGAAATCTGATAGACATTATGCTGCAGAAGAAGGAAAACCTCGAGAGTATCAGGAAGTACATCACCAGGATAATGAGCAATAAGGAAGAAGACGAGCTAAAAAACGAAAGAAGAGAAATGGACAACATGAATGGACAACAGAGGATCTGAAGAAAAAAAAAAAGAAGGAAGTGCCGACCAACCACCCCCCTGAAGTAATGCTTACGCGGTTCCGGGGGGGTAGGAGAACAGCTGGTCGAGAAAGGGGTTTTAGTCGGTAAAAGTCCGACACTACCAGAGACGATCGAACCTAAGTCTCTGGTGCCCATGAGGGTTTCCCCTTTCACAGAAAAAAAAAAAAAAAGGTCAGGTCAGGTCAGGTCAGGTCAGGTCAGGTCAGGTCAGGTCCCTGGGGTGGCTAACTACCAGGCGCGTCCCCCGGGTGGCGGATAGGGGAGTGGCCATTTTGCGTAAGGAAAATGGTTAGTGTCGGCTATAAGCACGGTGAGAGGGATTAAAACCCCCCAATATCCGTGTGAAAACCAACACCGCGGACCACCCTCAGTCATCACACTAGATGGCTGGTTTCTTTCATCTTCTCTCCCACTCTCCTTCTTCTATGCGGGTGGTAGGCTTTAAGTCTTTACTCTCGGCCTCTCTTGGCTAACATACTTGTTTTCAGACCCCGACGCTATTAGGTTTCCGAGGGCTAGGGGTCTTTCTTTTCCTTTTCTTATCCACCAGACCTTTATTAAAGCCAGGAAGCGTCTGTCCCATAATGGGCGGCTCCCCTGGTCAGCGTCTGACCCGGAGCGGGCGGCTGAAGAAACGCTGGCAGGAGCTCTAAAATGCTTAAGAAACAATAATGGATCTTAATAAAATGAAAGAAACTTACGGGCAGTCGGAACTCGGAACTGACAGTCCCGGCACGGGAGAGGTGGTCGAGCAGGCCGATCCCGGGTCGTCATCCAGAGACTGCGAGGCGTTTGTGGTGGGTGACCAGGCCGCAGCGTCTACTAGTGATACTGGAAAAGAAGAGAAAATGATGAGTGAGATGCTCGTTATCGACGCAGAAAAAGAGATTTTCGCAAGGAAACCCAGAGTAGTAAGGTCTCCGGCTAAGGAGATAACAAGAGAAACCACAGAAGAATCCGTTCTCTTAACACCTACAAGGGTTAGGGCCGCAACATGGGGATGTAGCGTGAGAGGAACCGTCGCCCAGATGGAAGGCGAATATGCCAAGAAAAGGAAATATACGGAAGATAGCCCACCAAAGACGCAAGTTACGAGCATAACAGAGGTAGAACATAAACTTATCTCGAAACTGAGGTCTAAGACAGATGACCTTAATAAATTTGTCAAGGAGAACAAAAACGTACATAAGGAGATTAAAGCATGGGCGACAGAAATAAATAGTATAGTTAATAGGGTGACTAATGAGTATAAGAATGAAAAGGAAATGATATCAGAAAGACGGCAGAAAGCAGAGGAACGCACAAAGAACCAAGAAGAAATAATAAGGACACTTAAACATGATATTATTTATATGAAAGAAGAGCAAATACGGCATCTAGAACAAATAAAAAAGTTAGAGAAAGAGCTCGCCAGACAAGTGAGTAAAGAGGGACAGAATGGAGTAACAATAGAACCACAGTTCGATTTAAACGAAACAGAAATATCTACGTATGAAGAGTTCGTTAATGTACAGGACAAAAATTGGACCCCATCCAGTTTTGTATGTACAGAAATTAAGATTGAAGACCCGGCAAAGTGTAATGATGGAAATATGATCCTTTTCATGGACATAGAACCTAAACGAAGGACAAGAATAAGTAAAATGTTTCTGAACAGATATCCAGAACTTTTACATGGAGAAAAAATCGAATGTCAAGGAGGAAGTTATGTCGCAATTGAACAGACTGTATCTTACCTAATACAAAAAACACAAAAGAAGATGACAAGAAGACTAACGACTGTATATTATGACCCAACCAAGCAAGACGGTAGGACGGAACAAGATGTTTTCCATATACTAAAGGAAATGACAAAAATAATAAACACGGCGGAGGAGAAGATGGCGACGATAGTCTGTCCGGTAGGTATACTCGGTGAGAAATTTAGAAAAATGGCAGAAGTGAATTATCACAATATGGGATACAAAATCAATATAATATTGAGTAGACGAAATGATAAAGAAGAAGAGAGACAAAGGAAAAAAAGAGGAGAAGCAATCCTCATACGAAAAGATGACTCCGTGTCATATGCTGATACAGTAAGGAAACTAAAAGAAGGGCTGAAAGAGGAACAGCTAGTTAAGGAAAATATAAAAGGAGTACGGAAAACAAAAAACGGGGAACTTCTTATCAAGATAGCAAAAGAGGACACAAACACGAATGACAAGATTAAAGAGATATTCGAAGGACGGAAAGCAATTTCGTTAGGAGGAGTCAGAACAAAAGTACTCCATGTAAGGGACCTAGACATTACAATAGAGACGGGGGAGATAGAGGAAGCATTGAAAGACGCAGGATACATTAGTATACCCGAAAAATTTATTGTCAAATCAGTTCGACCTACTAAAAATGAGAATAAAATTGCAACGTTATTAGTAGCAGAAGAAGACGCCAATAGACTATTAAAAATGGGCAAAGTCAAGATAGGCTTTGAGATCTGTCGAATAGAAGAAAGAATAACACTGAGAAGATGTTACAAGTGTTGGCAATACGACCATCAAGCCAAGGAATGCACGGGGGAAGACAGAAAGGACATATGCCAGCGGTGCACGAAAGAAGGGCACATAGCCAGAGACTGCCAAGAGATACCTTATTGCCCACTGTGCAATGAACAAGGACATCAGGCTGGAAGCGGTAAGTGCAGGTCCTTTATAAGGGCCTTGACCGCTGCCAAAGACAAAAGGAAAAAATAAAATTCAAGCTGTTACAGCTAAATGCGAACTGTAGCAAGGCAGCACACGATGTTGCCTATGCTACGGTCAAAAGAGACAGCTACGACTTTATGATTGTCTCCGAACCCAATATATCTATGTGCAGCAGGAAAAGTAATATCTATATGAATAGAGAAAAAACCACGGCCATAATCAAGACTAGCTTAAATCAGCAAGTCACCAATATCCAGATGGGGAACTGCTACGTATGTGTAGAAACCAGAGAGTATGTGATGTTTAGTGTATACATAAGTCCTAATAGCTCTTTTGAAACCTTTTTGGAAAATATGAAAGAATTACAAAATGCGGTGATGGTAACGAAGAAGTTAGACAAGAAACTGATAGTGGCCGGAGACTTCAATGCTAAACATATGTACTGGGGAGGTAAAGTAACAGATCGCAGGGGAGAAACAGTATTGGAATGGACATTTGCTCTGGACTTGAATATACTCAATGATGGAAAAGAACCAACACTCATACGACCTAATGGAATTTCATATGTAGACCTGACTATAGTCGATAACAATATAATGGATAAGAACCCGAGATGGTGTGTGTTGAAAAATGAATTGTCACTGAGCGATCATCAAGCCATAAAACTAGATATTACGACAACGCAAACACGAATAAATACATATAGATACGGCAATACTAACTTAGAAAAGATGGAGAGAATATTTCGAGATAATATTTCAAACCACGCGGAATTGGGAACATGTAGGGAAGAACTGATTAAAGCTTACGAACAGAGCACTCCTCGCGTTAGAGTAGACAAAGGAGGTGGCATGCCGTACTGGTGGACTGACTCCATACAAAGATTGATTTCTGAAGTGCACAAGAAAAGGAAAGAATTCCAAAAGGAGACAAGATCTGAAGAACAACGAACAATAAAGAAAAACACGTATAAAATCGCAAAGAGGAAACTGTGCAAAGAAATAGCTGCTGAAAAGAAAAAGGGATGGAAAGAACTCTGCGATCGGCTAGATGAAGATGTATACGGAGATGGCTACAAAATAGTGATGGCACAATTACGATATACGGCACCAAAAATTGCACTAACTCCCAAAGAACGCGTCACTCAGTTTAACAAACTCTTTGTGACCGATATCGACACATTCCCGAAACAACAAAAAGAAATTGAAGAAAATAAACAATTAATAACGGCGGAAGAACTACAAGCGGCAACGAGGAAAATCAAATCAAGAAAAGCACCCGGACCAGATGGACTTCCACCAGAGGTGATCAAACATATGGTTAACGCGAACTCAGAATATTTTCTTCGAATCTTCAACCAAATGCTGAACGACAATATCTTTCCGGATATCTGGAAAATTACGAAGTTGATACTGCTAGAAAAGCCGAAAAAGAATCCTCAGGACCAAACCAAGTACAGGCCTATTTGCTTGATAGACGCATTAGCGAAGGTTTATGAAAATATAATAAATACGCGACTAATAACGGAGATACAAAGCTTAGGAGGATTCAGTGAATATCAATTTGGGTTTCGACAAGGTAGGACGACAGTAGATGCCATAACTAAGGTGGTACAAACAGCCAGAGAAGCCAAAAATAAAAACATGTGGTGTGCCCTTATAACAATCGATATCAAAAATGCATTTAATCAGGCCTCTTGGGAGAAGATAATAACAAAATTAAAGAACCGCGGGGTGAGCGAGTACTTGGTCAACACGATAGCGTCGTATTTATCCGAAAGGAAAATTCAAATTTCCCCAAAACAAAAAGAACACATAGGGGGCGGCGTTCCACAGGGTTCGGTTCTCGGACCGACCTTGTGGAACGTCTTGTACGACGACATATTCGAATGCACAACGGTAGAAGGAACGAGTATGCTAGGGTATGCTGATGATTTAGCCGCTCTGGTTACTGCAACCACAAAAGAAAACTTAATGATCAAAGGAGATGAAGTGTTGCATTCAATTAGACTGTGGCTACAGACGAATAAACTTGAAGTAGCGAAGGATAAGGTTATGGCAATAGTCCTGAACAATAGAAATGACAAAGACATATATTTTGAATTAGACGATACGACAATTACAACTGTTAAAAAAGTGACATATTTGGGCATAATATTAGACAGAGGTCTTACCTTTGGTCCACATCTCAGGCATGTTTGTGGCAAAGCGAGTAGGACGGCAAACGCAGTCTCTGCCATACTTCCTAATATTCGAGGTCCCAGGGGTTCGAAACGAAGGGTACTGGCTCTCTC